AGTCCGTCCGTCCGTTACGTACGTCGGTCGGCACGTACGTACTCCTCCCTCGGCCGGGTCCGGTCGTCCCCCCCTCCCCCCCCCCCCCCCCCCCCAACCTTCCATGTAAATACCATCTATCATATAGCTAGTGCGCGTGATTCCTTCTGATCGTATGGAGGGAATCGACTCCCCTGAGCCGGGGGGGACAGACAGAAATCAGATGCCGTTTTGACCGGCAGTTTTGCAATGGCGAGGAGCTACGTGCGCTGCACGCTAGGGCATGAGAACGTTCGCTACTGGCGATCCAACAGTAGTAGTAGTAGCAATAGTAATAGTAGTAGTAGTATTCGGTGTCACGATTGCATCTTACCTACACACACACATATATACATACACAACGAAGGGGATTTAGTTGGCGCTTTGAACCAGGGGGACTGTTGGGGAGTAATATTTATTTGTTGGTGGTGAGGCCCGTTGCTAGTGGACCACGCAGAGCTTGGCTCGCTTGCTTGCTTGTTTGCTTCCCTGCATTGCTGCATTCGAGAGGAGGGGGAGGGGGGGGGGAGGCTCATTGCCGAGATGAATTTGCAAGGCGAGAGTAAGCAGCAGGTAGCCAAGCCCGAAAACGCATCTACATGATGGGATGGGAGGAATTTGTATAAGCCGCTGCGTGGGTATGTGGTGTGTCGTTTGCATTTCTCTCGTTCTCGTGTACAGTCAATACCTCTCCCTATCCGACACTCTCGCCATGAAAAGTCGCAGAATGGGATATAAATAAATCAAAGAGCCGACCCAACCGCCTCCAGGAACAACTGGATGCGCGTGCAACCTGCAGAACAATGAAACATGGACCAATGAAATATGCCAAAGTACTGTAGATGTATGTCCCACGCGTGGATACTTTACTCGCTTGTGCTCACTCAGCTGCCTTGTAATAATGTGCCCACCCATACCATGCTGCCAGATGAGAAACCATTGCTGGAGGTTGAGTGGGAAAATAAAAAACAATATCGAAGTGAAGAAAGCAGAATACAAGAAGACAGAATGCGAGGCCAGAAGTGGCATCGGAAAATGCGCCGTCGCTGAAATGCTGACAAGATGAAGCCACCCCGCTGAACTTGCCCAGCCCAGCAGCTTGCCCCCAAAATGCAATATGTACGTGTCGTTGCAGTTGCACCAAAACTCCGATGCGTGAGGCGAGTGCTTCCCCCATCGGGTACGCTAGCTTCTCACGGAATTTTGAGGCGTTGTGCAGATGTCTAGTACCCGCTCATCATGGTCTCCCCTGTGTTCACGCTGGAGAAGCTGGAGTTGGTACCTGGTCCTTGGGATCCCGAGGGCCCCAGCAGGCCGGTTTTTGAGGCAATAGACATGAGAATCTTGATATCGGAGTGCAATGCCGAAGACGGAGTCGAGTTCAAGCGAAGGAAGCCAATGGTCTTCTCGGTAAGCATGCGCAGGTAGTTTTCATTGGCGTGTTTGAGGACCATCGGCCTGAGAAAGACGTCCATGTAAGCGGCATGGAGAGTCACCATATTTCCCCATTGGCTTGAAAGGCCTGTTAGCATGATTCGCCCGGGAGTTACAAGAAGGAACCTACGCGTGTGCGGTTCCCCAGACATTGGTAACGATAAGTCTCTCCTTTGTCGGATCTCCCAAACCGTAAAATGCTGTTGTGCTCTGGATGAGGGCCTTGATCCCAGCTTCCGCATATTTCACAGCCTTTGGGTCGACCTCTTCGATGCGCGATGCCTTCGGGTTGACGACAGGCGCCTGCACATTGGCGAAGAACTCCCCGGCCTGCATGCCGGACGTGCCTGAGGACCGCTCCAGAAACTTCAGAACGTAATGTCGGTAAGTGATGACCTTCGCGCCAAAGTACTTGGCTCTGAGCCGAGCGGTCAGGATGTCCTTTGCCGGCTCGTCTACCTCGTAAGCCCAGTTCTTGTTGTCCGCTTGTACATATTCGTCCAACCCCTGCATATTGGCCTCGATCGTCGGGTGGTGAACTTTATGGCTCTTGACCGTCGGTGAGAGAGAGTTGCTTCCAGCTGGTGTCGTTAGTATGGAGATCACATGCATAGAGACTCTGTTCGAAGGGGGGGGCTTGCCATTGTCTGGTTTGTAAAACATGCTGTGTATATGGTTAAGATGCTTCCGTAACATTATCTGCTTCATATAGTGCCTCAATACATTCTCGTCGAAATCGTCTTCTTGCGTCATGGCTGACATGTTCGGAGGTGGCATGTCGTCTTCAAAGGTTAGGATACCAGAATGGGGACAAGGAAGTTCGGCGACGATATCACTAGAGTTCAGGTCAGTCCTGCTCAAGAACCAGACACTGCGGAACCGTACCTCTCCAGCTGCAGGCACGTCCAGAATGCGATAACAATCGGATTGTCTTTACTCAAGATGATAACGTTATCTATCTTGTATCTTTTTAGACGTTCAAGTTTCCTGCACACGGTAAGCTTTCATGAAGATGTAGTGAGTCGGCGTGAGCTTACGGCCGAAGAATGACTTGAAGAGCGCGACACGCATTAGCGATGTATCCATGGCTCTCCATGACCCTCGCAAGTTGTCCATGATACAAGCCAGCAAGTAGATTGGCATGTACGTGCTGCAGACTATTGCCGCCAAGTTGATTGCCAATGACGTCAGTCGCAAGCGCATGATACGCCAGGCCTGGAATGACATCGATATTTCTTGCCTTGGAAGCAAATCCACGGGCTGGATAATGCCCGTCGACAGAGCTTCTCCGACTCCGAGACGAATTTCGCTCGCCATCGGGAGGAGATCCGGCTCCGAAGCCCATTCCATTCGCCACGGAAGGGGAGTTTTGCAGGGGGGAAGGTGGGTGGCCGTTTCGGGTAATGGGAGAGCTGCCGAAGAAGTCATTCGACTCCCGATCAGACTGCCAGACATCGGGGATCTTCTCTTTGTGCTTGCAAATTGCCCCCAGTGCCATGACCAGCAGAACAATCGCAGAGCCGATGGTGCGAAACGGATGGCCTGGTTTGAAATCTTGCCTCGGGGGAAGCTCGGAGGTGTATTCTACCGAAACTGGTGATCGCTTCCGCTTGTTGCCCGGGCTCTCTGGATTCTTGTAGCTTCCCACGAAACCAGCTCCCGGATGACTCGTGTGGCCCGCGACGAGGCTGGAAACTTGTTTTGGTCTGGCATGACTGTCCGGAATCGATCTCAAAAACTTCTCGACAAGCTGGTGCAGCTTCGAAGGTATGAGTATGGGATGCAAGATGTTCATGTTCACCAGGTAGCTCTGCACTAGCTCATAGACCTTTTCCTTGCTCAAATCTGGCATGCCGTCGGCGCCGATATTCCCTCTGATCTTCTCCGCCTGACCAGGCGGAGGAGTAAATCCGCCCGACTGCCCCCATTCCTCGCCAGCTGGAGATGATATATCTGAATGCGAGTCGCCGGGTGTACCATCGTGGTCTACCAGTTGTTCCCGATCATAGCCTGGTGCATGCTCATACCCCTCGCCCCGGCCAAAGAGGCGTAGCAGACCTCTCTTCTCTTCCTGCAAGATGGGGTACTTCTCGCTTCGTATCCTCCCTTTCGGGTTGAAAACATCAGCGCACAGAACTTTGATCGCGGGCACACCCAGCAGGCCAGCCGCGCCGGTCGTATGGTTCACAGGAATGGATGGGGGTTTAGCTGGTCCTGGGGGACCGGTATCCTCCTCTTCTTCTGAAACCTCATCTACCTGGCCCTCATGGTGGTCGACGAATCTTCCCATAGCCATGGGCTGGCTCGGAGTGGATGCATATGGTGATTCTGGCAACATCTGCCTGCCCACTGACAGAGATGGTTGAGAATATACTACCGGGTTCGGTGGCGGGGCAAGGTGGTCCTCATTTTCCTCTTTAAACCGCATCAATTCGCGACCCTGACCACCTGCAATGATGCGCAATTGCTCTGTGATTCTTCGGTTTTCGGCTGTCAAAGCTTCAAATCTATCGTCAATCCTCCTCTCCCTGGATATGAGAAACTCCATAATGTCGGCAAGCCCCTTGTCTTGCCTATTGCCATTAGTACTCAACCGCAAAGGGGGGGCGCTTGCCATCGAACATACTGTTTGGGTGGCGGGTCCCGATAGCGACACTCTTGTTGCTTTTCCTTACAGGTGGAGCAAGACGGTCGCCCCTCGTCGCACTTGGCCTTCAGAGTCCGGCAACTATCGCATGCTTGCGCAGCTCTCTGCGCCTTCTTCCTCACATTATTGCTATCTTGCCTGGCGGGGGTACTCAGTGGATATGAGACTGTAGAGTAATGGTTCTCGCGTGGCGGCCCCGGCTGTGGAGGAGGAAGACCCGGCGTTCCGTACGAAGGATGATATGGCTCCGTCGCCGACATTGGACTCTGTATCGGCTGGGGGTAAGGCTGTGGGGGGTATTGCTGGTTTCTGGCGGGATCATAAGGCGCGACGTATGGCGGCCGCACATGCCCGTCGTGATGAGGCGACGGGTTTACATTATGATCCGCCCCCGTTGACGGCGGTCTGTATTGCTGTGGAGGTTCGTCTGAGGGATCTCTCTTCACCATTGGGTCTCTATGGCCTGCATACGGCGGCGGATGAGGAGGAGGGCCGTTTTGGTATCCATGCGAAGGGCCAGAGCCAGGTCGACGAGAGTCTTGATGGTCGTACTGTTGCTGTTGCTGCTGCTGCTGCTGCTGCTGCTGCTGTTCCGAGGGTCGACGAAGATCTAACGGATGTGGTTCTGGTGGCCGCGAGAAAGGATTCGGAGGTTGGTTTGAATGTGGTTGGTAAGGAGGCCCATTAGAAGGGGGAGGAGGAGGAAGCTGTCGAGAGGCCTCGGGCGAGTTGTGCCATTGTCCAGAATTCGGCGCGGAAAGACGGGGACGCTTCTCGGGTGGAATGTCCATCATAGCGAAGACTCTGATGCGGTCACGGCAGCAGAGGCCATGGACGGCAGCAGTAGAGCGCCGGCTTCTTACAGGTTGCCAGATAGCACAGAGGGTCTCATCGGGAGGAGGGGGAGGGGGGGAGCGGATCGGAGGGGAGGGAGGGAGGGGGGTAGCACGAGTTAGGTGGTAGGTAGGGTAAAGTCAGGTCAGGTGTATCAGAAGAGATTCCCCGCGACTATTCGTCTACCAGGTATCGCAAATTGTAATGTCTAGGACGGAAAGGCCGATTAGCTTTTAGCTCCTAAAGACGCAAGCAATATCTAGTAAGACGGGGGGGGGAGGGGGGAGGGGAGGAGGACCAGGTGGCAGGGGCAGCGGTGGCGCACGAGCAACAGAGATTTGGTTTCCCAGAAGTTGGGGCCAGGAAGCTTGAGAAGAATATACTGTATCCGCAAAGCTAGGACACGACCCGGATCTGCGACGGCGCCTTGCGATGCGAAGTGGAGTGAAGTGAAGCGAAGCGAAGCGATGCAGCTGTTTGCCTCAAGAACTGGTAGAGTAGGGTAGAGTAGATAGAGTAAAGTCGAGTCGATTCGAGTCGAGTTGAGTTGAGTCGAGTCGAGTCGAATCGAGTCAAGGCGAGTCAAGTCGAGTTGAGATATGAAAGGCGGGTTGGGTTGAATGGTGTTGACGGGAGATGGGCGGATGGGAGGCCTGATAGCCCCGGCTGCTAAGTCTGCTACTTACGAAGTAAGACTCCGAGTACCTAGGTACGTAGTACCTAGTACCTACGGACGGCTGGCGCTGGGCACTCGAGGATCATTGGATCATTGGATCATAGGATAATACCTACCTAGTAATAAAAATGCTCGGCATGTAGGGATACTCCGTATTCCGTTAGTCCTGTAGGGATGAGTAGCGGCAGATGAATGGATGAATGGGTGGACGTCGCGATCCGCTGGCATTTGGACCATTCGAAAGGTGTAGAGAGGATGGATGGCTGGATGGATGGATAGATGGATAGATGGACAGATGGATCGATCGGAGAGGGCGAGGGGCGATAATGCACTGCGCTGCACTGCACTGCACTGCACTGCACTGCGCTGCTCTGTACTCTACGGACTGCACACGGCCGCACGGTGTCACGGGGGACGAACGGCGGTGGAGGCCAGGGTCACGACTCAGCAGGATCGACGAGTCGACAATAGGGTTAACCGACAATAGCCTCCTCGTCCTTGGCCTCGAGCTTCAAAAGGTGGGCAGGGTTGGTTGGCGTAATTGGCGTAATTGGTTTTTGGGTATAATTAGGTACGGGTAAAGGTAGAAAAGTAGGATGAAGTATGTACGTAGTAGGTACTGTACTCGGTAGAATAGTAGTAGTATCTACTTTGACCTCATCCTATTCGCTCGCTTCCTTTGCCACATTCGACCATTAATTATACTCTGTACCCCGTCCCTAAATACTTTCCACTTCAAATAAGTAATTAATTGACTTTCCCGTACGGCGGCATTGGGTGGGACTCGATCGTATCACACGCGGCTTATCGAGAAGTCTATTCTTTCCTGGAGGCTGGCAGCCGTTGAAGGTTTGGATTTGACTCGACAAGAGATTGCTCACTTAGTTCTAGGCTAGGTAGGTAGAGTAGATAGTACTTGTAACAGTGTACCATAGCGGTAGGTACTACGTAAGTAGGTAGTAGATACGTACAACAAAGAAGTATTCTTCGCTCTATCGACGTTGCTCCGCAGCCGTAGTGACATGATGCTCCACCGACTCACCCACCGCTATGGAGGCCATGATAGAGCAGTACCATTCAACGCATCAACAACAACAACAACCACAACAACAACAACCACAACAATAGCAACATGAACAACACCAAGCAAGCAAGCAAGCGCCTTGAAAGCTGAAATTGACTAATACTAACTGTATTACTCTTTACACTAGTGGCTCCGTGACCAAGGGCACGGGTTTCAATAGTGTCCACGGCCCTGGACAACCGAACAAACTGTATTTGCCGGAATTCGTTCTCAGCTCGGCATAAGACGCGAAGAGGATTAGAACGAAGCTATGCAAATGAGGCCAGCCTGCAGTGGAAATGATGATTTGCTTGTTCGACCTGCCGACTCGAGAGATGGATGGAGAGGTGAGGCTATTACCAGTTCCACACACGTACTACGTAATAAGTCGACGCCGCAATAGAAAAAGAAATGGAGTTCGAGGACAAAAACACCGAGGCCCAAGCGAGCCATCATCTATCGCGGCTCGTACTCTAACGTCTAGGGTGTGTTCCATGCTTCCTCTTAAGTCTTCGCACTAGAGTATCTTCATCTGATGGCGATAATCAAGATCAGTGGCCTGACAGCCGCGAGCCTTGCGTTCTGGACCGCCTGGACCGCCTGGACCGTCTGCACCGTCTGGACCGTCTAGACCGCCACATCCCTTGTCCCAACTCCCAATCAATCCGCTGCGAATAGTGCCAGGTCCTCACTTACTACTAGGTTCTTTCACCGCCGGCACGGCACGTGGATGAATCCTGGCTTATACGAACTACTAGTAGTAGAAGTACGTAGAAATCGCTCAATGCGCACTCTCGGGTTACGGGTGACCAAAAGACTCAAGAGCCACCAAACCTCGTCTTGCTCAGCTTATTACTCTCAATGCACAAATCGTTAGCCATAGATTCGCTGTCTTGCAATCTCCTTCCTCTGTATACGAAATCAGGTTCCAATGCAACGGGGCTAGAAGGATTTCTATACGGACTTGCCACACACTGTCTGTTCCGTACAAGCAATCCCACTGGCCATTAGCCGCCACTATTGATCCTGGACCATGCCCTCTGCCCGGAGACTTCCTTGTTTCTTAAACTGGCGACCCACAAATTACAACTCGTCGTTCACCGCTGGCTGAAGAGTTCGAGTGAGAGGAGACGGGCGGTCCGTAGAAGTTCTTCTACCGAAAACGAAACACTGTTCACGACTTTGCTCTTCGCGGCTGTCGGACGATTAGCCATTATTACTACTAAACGGATCTTGGAGAGCGAATGCTCTCGTTTCACACACCTGTCCAAAACGCACGTCGGTCTCTTGGGATTAGATCGTTCAACGATCGTCCCACGATTGGCTTAACAATCCACGAGAGTGCCAAATCTGGTTAAGGGCTAACGGTAGATTTGCATCCCGCCGCCCACTGCCCAGATGAAGACAAGGCTGAGACTCCGTTAAGTATGGAGTACAATCGTCGGACTCGCGACCCCCACACGCGCCGCCCCGACGAGTAGCGAGTAGAATCTCAAAGTACGGACGGAATCTTCAGTAAACTATGGATCGCTCCGTGCCGTAAACTCAGAGGGCTTTGCGTTTGGCTTTTTCACCTTCTCGTATCTAGTAGTACGTGGGGGGCAAGTGTACAAATGAACTCCGTAAATGCAAAAATGCATTGATCAGCCTTCAGGACGCTCACAGATCCCCACTGGTTTGAAGTTGCAGATGCAGATCAGAAAGTGAGCCATCAGTACTTTGTAGCAGTGGGTCTTAATGGCGTGCTGGGATCCTTGGATCCGCAGTAGATTTCTCGCGTCTTGGGAAATATGAGCTGTCGACGAGCGGTCAGCGACCTCGATAACGGTTTCAAGATCGGGCATTTCTTCTTCATGTCGGCTACAACGCGCTTCGAAAAAGAAAAGGAGAAAAAACTATGGTCAGTACATTTACCAGCGGCCTCGCTGCTCAAAACATGGCTGCTTTGACGTATCCAGGTGTCCATGGTGAAGCATCGCAAGGGTCATTCGCTGCCGCTGAATCCAGGATGAAGCGCACGCTAATTTGAGGTTTTTCTTTTGGAAGCTGCATCGGCTTGCACCACTATCCGGGTTGTGAGCCTGATTTTGTACAGTAGTACTACGTAATTTGACTGAATCCCAAGAGCTGCCCAGGTCCAGGATGTTCATACTGCAAGAAATATTTGACTGGCTAAATTGCCAATGTTTTCTTTTTCGATTATTCGACTCGAGTAGTATGTTTTCATCTGATATTTGTGGTTCCATCATCGCCTGGGCGGCCCTTCCCTCTTCCCCCTTGTCCCCCCTCATCCCCAGGCGATTATGCAGGACGGTCCGATAGATGAAAATGTCTTAGATCAAGCATGGCTCGCTGGCAGCCTTGTTGAAAAGAAATCTGGGAATTGTCCAGACCTGGGCGCATCTCTGCCGCCCCCGGATTACGTCAACCTGCTATGGGTGCAAGCTTCCACTTGTAGAACCCTTGAATAGTAGCTGAATTGCAGCTCTTAGTTTTTCAGCTTGCGGCCTCGACTCGCCGTTTCTTGGAAGGTCTCTCCTTGGATGTTGCTCGCTGCTCTCCATCGTTTACTTGTGGAAGGTCGATCACTTCTTCTCCTTCTGTGAAGGTAAGATCACCCGTTTCGCCCAGGCTCGAAAGCGATGCTTCTTCCATGATAATCCCTAGAGCTATGAGAGCCGTCTCATCCAGACTCTTCCAGTCACCACTGCCCCCATCCCCGGCAGCTCGTGAGTAGAAATCAGATGTATAGCAATGTAAGGCCTTAAGAATGTCCGATTCTGGCAGGTCCGTAACGGACTGTCTTTCATTCGCGAAGTATATGTCGGACTCGGCATATCTTGTAGGGGCATTTCTGCTTCGAAACAAGACTGCCTCTGGGGAGATCGCGCTGGCAGAGGATGAGACGGTATCGCGTGTCGAGGCAACTACCTTGTGCTTGGGAATGAATCCGGCGACTGATATCCTGCCTGCAAAGTGTCAACCAAGGCACGGCGCGCCGAGGGCGTGGGATTTGGGGGATACCTGCAACTGCATCGTAGACAGTAGGATGCCGAAACCGTGGTAGTTTCTCGTCAATCATCGGATCTTCAGGCAAAATCCGCGGATGCAGAAATTGGCGTTTTGAGGCGGCCTCCGAAGTCATGATTTGTTGGTTGTTTGTTGGTTTGGGGGAGGGATAATCAAAATGTCCCGTAATCGTCGTGGGGTTGGTGGTGGTGTGGGGTGTGTGGGGGAGGCGAATCCGACAATTAACGTTATTGACTTCGGCGCCTCGGTCTCAAGGCTCCTAGCCTCGAGCTTACTCAACCTCACCGGCCTCCAAGCATCACTCACCACTACAATAAGTAACAGTTAAATGTATGAATCAGTTGCTGTTTGACAGATCAACGGTAGGTAATGGGGGATCAGACTTGTCCTTCTGACAAGGCAAATTTGATCACTGACTCTCCTAGGGCAATCTCAGTCCTCGGGGATTTGCCCGTATACAAACCTCGCAACTGATCCAATCCATCCAACTTGCCCCGAGACTGAAATTTAATGGTGGCGAAAAGGAGATAGCATCTGTTCAAGGTGCCCAAGGTGATGGCTCTCGGCTAGTGTCTCTTCAGCCTGAAGAGGTAGCTGGGTCTAATAAGATATGGGCCCATCAGTCTGGAGTCAACGCTCTGGCAATAGATGTTGAGAACCGACTGTACGAGAGCCACGTTCCGCGCTGAAGTCATGCTAACAGATCCAGTCTTATTTCAGGAGGTTCGGACTCCAGCATAAAACTTTGGAACCTTGATGAGCATGTACCGTGGTCAAACCACACATTCAAGCCCTTCCAAACCGTTCCTAGGTAAGAAAATGGATATCTATGTACGGAAAGAGGAATGCTGAATTCGTTACAGAACTTCTTTAACCCACAAATTTGGCATCACTCAGCTAAGCTTTTATCCTTTTGACTCTGGGGCGTTCCTTTCTACTTCGTATGATCACCACTTGAAGCTGTACGCAACAGACACACTTTCTGTAAGCGCACAGTTCGACCTGAATTCTATCGTTTACAACCATGCGCTTTCTCCCATAGCAAACCACCTGCTCGTTGCCTGTGCAACCCAGCATCCAGCTGTCAGGCTTGTTGATCTTCGTTCCGGCTCAAGTATTCATTCGCTGGCTGGGCATCACGGGGCTTTGCTATCTCTCTCGTGGAGTCCGACTATTGAACATGTTCTAGCCAGCGCAGGTATAGATGGGACCGTCCGTCTATGGGACATTCGCAAGAGCTCAGGGGCGTTAGGTGTATTGGACATGGAGGACTCGACGGGTATCACTGATACTGACGGGATGGGAGGAGGCGATCGATCCAGAGAATCCGGCAAATCCCATTCCGCCGCTGTAAATGGTCTCACTTGGACAGGCGATGGCTCTTATATCATCTCAGCCGGTCATGACAATCGCGTTAGAGTCTGGGATGCAGCTACAGGAGCCAACACACTTGCAAGTTTTGGGCCAACGCTGAAGAATGGTCATCTCTCGAATCTTCCGTTGGTTGTGAGCCCTACTGGATCCACTGAGCCCAGGAAAGAAGTCCTTTTCTATCCAAATGAAAAGGAACTTCTCATGTTCGAGTTACATGAGGGCCGCCTTTCTAAGCGTTGCCGTGTTCCAGGTCCAAATATAGCAGCCGTTAGGTCGAGGACAGGAGAGAGAAACGTCAAAAGCAGGATCACAGGACTGGTCTTCAGAGGCCAAGCAGGTGGCATTTACTCTGCCCACACAGATGGACAGATCCGTGCTTGGCTGCCTCGAAGTCGGGAAGATGATGAACTGGACGAAGAAGAGGAACTGGAACGAAGTTATGAAAACAACGATGAGATGACGAAAAAGAAGCGAAAAGTCCTGGATGAAATTTTCAGGGATTTGACGAAACAGAAGATAACTTTCGGATGACTTCTCGTGGAGTAAGCTCGTCTAAACGCTATCTGTTCGCAAAGCTGAGCTCAACATCTCCCATTTGTTGAGTTTTCCATCGTCCAGCAGCATGAATTTATGTTATGAGTATCAGGGCTCGAAGGAAGCAATTTTATGGATTATTTTCATTCTGTCACTTCCTCGGAAAACATGTCATTCTCGGCAAGGCACTCTGTAGACTGCAACACATGTGTGATTGACTCGATCAATACAAAGGGATAGTTTTTGACTTGTATCCCCACCACGAGACCTGCTGGGCCATCTCATCAGAAGCAGAATATTCATCGTCTCCGGAGGACCAGCAGAGCTTGCACCAAAATGGGGCCTATGGGTGCTTTCTCGTCTCTCAAGTGCTGAAGAGCAAGCCATGCACCAGCAATCATCAAGTGTCCTGCGATTCGAGCGAAACACGGCTCGTTGTATTGACAGTTTCATGCATCGAAACTTCACTGCCGTTTTTCTTACACAGGAACCCGACATGGCGTTTCGAGTGTTGTCGACAGGCTCATTTCACCACCACACACCGCGAGGACACCTTCCTCGCTTGACTCACTCCTTCTCACGATTGTCTACTCGGAAAGAGTGTGGCAAACAACCTCGGATGTATGCTTCCGTCAACATCTGGTGCCAGCAAGCCTGCTTTTCTGGCGAACGTCATCCGTCGACCGGCTCTCCAGATTTGCGCCGAGCTCAATCAATGATCCAGCAAATCAAGATGTCCAAGGACTCGAGATCTGCAATACTTAAGCACGTATGGTCTCCTCTGTACGGCTCTCCGAAGATTTGTCTTATCCTAATCCTAGCAGGACTTCGGCCGTGGAGGAATGATCACCTTGATAAATGTCCGGTTTTCGGTTTCGGGCGTCAACCACGAGCTCTCGACGTACTTGACTCATTGCTCCTTGTATATTTTCAATTTGGCTCTCGTCGCATGTCGACCTTATTTCTAAGTTTCTTGCCGAGTGGTGTTTGTTGTATTTTTTTCTTCAGCGAAGATTGGCTTTGACCGTCTCTTACAGATCTAGAGTGAGGACTCATTGGTCACCACCACTTTCTCAGTCTTTTATGTTATGATCTTGATATTCTTGTACTATTCTGATCTAAATTGATCTTTCTCGGCCATCATGGCTCCAGCCCACCATGAGCACATGGCTCAGCAGCCTGTCTCCAGTTTCCATCACAGCAACGCAGATTCCATACACTCGGCCAGCACTACCGAAGAGCGCCCAGACCTCGATCAAGTGCGGACCAATATCTCTACCCACGATATTCCTATACAGCACTACTCCTCATTTGTCGAGATTCCCGATGAAGTATACGATCGATTGTCGCCATCACGGAAGCTCGTTATAGTAGCACTTTTGTCATTCTGCTCTTTCCTCGCTCCGATATCTTCAACTACCATTCTGGCGGCTATTCCAGAGGTAGCCTCAACATACAATAGCACCGGAACAATAATCAACCTGAGCAATGCTCTCTACATGCTTTTCATGGGAGTTTCACCCTGTTTCTGGGGACCACTTAGCCAAGTGTACGGTCGACGATGGGTATTCATAAAATCTCTTTACAAACCCCACACCCACGATCTAATACTCTCCACTCCACACCAAACAACCAAACTCACACTTCTTCAGATCTGTCTTGTAACAGCAGCACTGTTCTGTGGCTGCTCCCTGGGCACAGCCCTCGCGCCCAATCTTCCCGCCTACTTTGCATTCCGCATTCTCACAGCTTTCGAAGGCACCTCTTTCCTCAACGTCGGCGCCTCATGCATAGGGGACATCTACCGGCCCACAGAGCGGGCGACAGCCATGGGTTGGTTCCTCTCCGGCACCCTCATCGGTCCAGCCTTCGGCCCTTTCATCGGTGGCATCATCGTGACTTTCAGATCCTGGCGCGTAATCTTCTGCCTGCAAACCGCTCTCGCAGGCGTAGCGCTCGTCGGCGCCTACGTCCTGCTCCCCGAAACAGCACATCACATGAAAGCCGACGACCTCGTCGGTCTCTCCTTGAGGGCCAAAGCAAGGATCTTGTGCGGCATGTTGAACCCATGGCGAGTGCTGGGGCTGTACAAATACCCGAACTTGATCATGGTCGCTCTGGCCAGTAGCTCTCTGGTCTTCAACATGTATTCTCTATTAACACCCATAAGGTACATCCTCAATCCTCGTTTTGACCTCACCACGCCCATCGAGTCTGGATTGTTCTACCTTGCGCCCGGCTGCGGATACAGTACGTAAACTGAGAGATTGACTGGTCCTATTCCGGAATGTCCCATCCAATCTATCCCCCGCCCCCGTCACTTTACCGCCCAGGCAAATGCTAAGTCCCGGGTATCCTACAGTTCTAGGCACGTTCTTCGGTGGTAGATACGCCGACCACGTCACCATCAAATGGCAGTCTATCCGCGGCGGTGAACGCGTCCCCGAAGACCGACTCCGCTCCGCCCTCCCATTCATGGGAATCGCCATCCCAGCCAGCATGCTGATCTACGGCTGGTCGATCGAGCAGCGCTTCGGCGGCATCGCCCTCCCTGTCGTCACGATGTTCTGCCAGGGCGTCGCCCAGCTCTTCTGCTTCCCCAGCCTGAACACCTACTGCCTGGACGTGATGCAGAGCCACAGCGCCGAGGTCATGGCGGGGAACTACATGCTCCGCTACCTGTTCGCGGCGCTGGGCAGCGCGACCGTCCTACCGGCCGTCGAGCGCGTTGGCGTCGGCTGGTTCTCGACTGTCAGCGCGGCCTTCTTGGTGGGGAGTAGCCTGGCGACTTATGCGGCTGTTTGGTGGGGCGCTGCGTGGAGAGAGAAGGTGGATGCGAAGCGGCGGGCGGCGAGGAGTGAGAGGAAGAAGATGATGATGACTAGTGCTGGGGGCGTGGAGTTGGATCGGGAGGATGAGCTGCGAAAAGCACCTGTGCTGGTAGGAGGGAAGGAGGAGGATAGTAGTGTGTGACGGACAAGAAAGTAGTACGAAAGTTGAACCCCGCTACAAACAGCCAGCCATGAGGAGGGGAGAACTACAAGACTAGAACGTGAAGAAGTCCTATCGTCAAAGGCCCCATCAAAACTTGTCTATTTGAGAGCTTCCGCTTTTTACAGTCACAATCTTCAAGAGAGATATGGAAATTCTAAATCATTTTAACCAATACGAATAGTCTCGTGGCCGAACGACGGTTTAATCCTATCTTATCATCTACTAGAGTTATCTAAAGCAGAATGTAGGCATACAGTAAGTAGAACGTCTGGGTTTTCACTTAGTTGATGTTTAGAGTTAACCCCGCGAATCCTTTTTTTTTTTTTGTGGGGGAGGGGGAAGGAGGGGGAAAGGCTATCCGTAAAAGCAAAGCATTTCGAAAAAGGGTGGCCGGGAAGGGGGGAGGGGAAGCTAAGGGGGCCGATTTTCAGCTCTTATGCTATGCATCTACTCTATTCTCAACTAAGTATATTACTCTGTAGAGCCCCTGTCTGGATCACTCACTGCGCGCAGATGCAAGCCAGGTTACACCGCTAGGTCAAAGAAAACCTTCACTGCACTTTCCCCAGTTGCACGCTACGGCCAGATGCAAGTAACCGGCGACCCTACCTATCTGCTCGCGAGCTGGACCAAAGTACTACGTAAATAGATAACTTGCTGTAGCTCTAATCGTCGGTCGGTTAGCGTAGATTGAAATTTGGAAGAGTTGACTGACTTGGCTGTTGCAAGGCGGGGACGGTAACGGTATACATAAATAACACTTATCAAATGATAACCATTGAAATAAATAAGAAAGAGAAAATAGATTTTCTTTTTCTTTGTGTGCTGAGAGAACTTTGCTTCGAAGACCTTGCTTGACGGACGCGAGCTCAGAGTGTAAGGATGCCTTCACCTGTGGCGACCTGATACATTTAAAATGCAGTGAGGATATCGCTAGCTAGCTAGCTTAAAAAAAAAAAAGGGTCTTATAGATCGCACATAAACAATCTCATCTCGTATACGCTACCACTCAAGGTACTACTCGTGAAATCAAAACAAAAGTTGCTCCTGACGCACGCATTCCTCAGACAGGTGTGAAAAGAATGAATCAAAGTGCGCCTCTCTTTTCCGCCTTCCTCGGCTTAGAACTTATTCTAGTATTTACACCTTTGCTGCTTGCTGCTTCTGCGCGTGACTTGTCCTCCAGCAAGCAGCAAGCAGAAACAGAAACAGAAACACTTATATACTTCCTTCTTTCCTTTTTTACTTAATTAAGTATATGCGGTACGTACGGATCTATCTACCCGTAACAACAGCTAGCCAGCCAGGAAGCCAGCCAGATAAACAAACAAACAGACAAACAAACAGAAAGGGAGAGCTGGTTAATTGTAACACGCAGAACCGCAATTTATATTATAATTACACGCTTGGAAGGAAGGAAGGAAGGATGGCAAGAAGGAAGGATGGAAGGAAGGGGTACCGGTAGGATAATTGGATGGATGGATGAATGGATGGATAGATAAGTATTTGCTACAGCGAGACATTTCATCTCGTAACTCACGATTCGGGCGCTGGACCTTCCCGCTGACAGATAGGTACGTCGTGTCCGCGGGTGGTGGTGGTGGTGGTAGTGGCGTTGGTGACAATACCGGTACGTACCTAGGTATAGTAATCACCGGCTCGCTTAAGTAGGCCGCCTTCCTTACATCCTTTCCGTCGTCTTCCCGTCTCAAAAAAAAAAAAAAAAAAGGAAAAAGTCGGCCTCAGCGATCGCGGCGGACCAGAAGCGAATGCAGATTCTTCGTACATACTAGCAATACATACTAGCAATTCTCTCATACCAGACAGAGCAATCACTACCACAACCGCAAGAAAATCTCTCTACGAACAGTTTAATTAAACCTCTACGCGTACCCCTCTCTCCCGAAAACATCCATCATCGCATCATCCGATAGGAAACATCTAACTATCTATCGATCGATCGATCACTATCACCATCAGAATCCAAAGCCATCGCGATCAACACCAGGAAAAAAAAAAAAATATATATATATATATATATATATCCATCCCCCTTTCTTCAAAGAAGCCGTCCCGTCTGTACCGGTAATCGCATCGATCATACCGGTAATCGAGAAAAAAAAAAAAGGGTGCAAGTCAAAAAAAAAAAAAAAAAACAGAAAACCCCCTCCCTCAAAGACCACCCTCTCCCACAGAACCAGCCGCGCGCAGAATCCACCACCGCCCAAGAGGGGGTTCCCGCAACCACCAACCACCAACCACCAACCAAAAAATCCCGTCCAGATCCAGAGATCCAGAGATCCAGAATTCAAAACAAGGCAATATCGCATCGTCGTCGTCGCCCGTCTTCTTCAATTAATAATGAAGCCTGCATGCGTGCGTGCAGCAAGGCGTTCTCGTACCGGTATCATCATCCTCTGTTTTTTTTTTTTTAAGCGCTCGCGCTCGGCTGTGCGTGAATTCCATCCATCCATCCATCCATCCATCCATCCATTCATTCCCTGTTACGATACCGGTACCGGTAGCGGGTACCGTAGCGTAGCTCAGCTCAGCATCTCTTGAAAAAAAGATCCCCTTCCTTCCTTTCTTTCTTCCTTCCTCTCTGTGGAAAGAAAGCTTGGTCGACGATTCGTTGTTTGTTTGGCAGCAGAGTCGAGAATATATATATATATATATAATAAATTTATTTTTTTTTAATTTTTTTTTAGCGGTACGCGTAGAAATGAATGAATTGATTGTTCGTGGAAAGACTTCTTCTGGGTTAATGGTAATTGTGATGATAATTGCGAGGGTATAGTATTGCAGAATTTTTAAACATCATACGAACGATTCGCATTCGCTTCCGATCCGCAATCGCTTACGCCGACGAAGACTGAAAGGATGTGAGGGGGCCCACCTAAGCGAGCCGACGATTACGTATAGCCCCCCTGCTTACCCTACCTACCCTCAAGGGGTCACAATTACGCCTGTCCCGTGGTAATTTACGCCTGGCGGATCGTCAAAACGCAAGGCTGACCCTACCGCCTGAGGTCCCAAGGGTACGTGACGTGAAAAGTTGAAGAATTCCATTCCAAACTCTCCGAAAATGTCTTCTAAATTCTAATCTAAGGAAGTCTATCGTATCTAATACGAATTCCGAGTCCCTCAACCCGCGTTCTTGAAACCCCCCTTCCGTTGTATAATCCTCCGTCCAAGTAGATCCAAAAGTTAGATCTCAAGGCATCTGTCAAATATCCTCGAATGAAATCCGAGTGGCTGTCGAGTGGTTTCTGCCCCTATCCGTAGCGGATGGCATCATATATAGAAAACCGGCATAGAAGTAGGTATTCCAACACTACCTCAACGGTATCCCAGTTGGGCTCGAATACCGTCGAAAGAATCTTAGACAGACTCGTAAAAGATGCCGAAGCCCTTGTTGTAAACCGCAACAAGCCTTGGCGCGCACACGCAAATCCCACCTTCTCAAAAACCCTCGCCGGACAGCTCTTTCTTGCCCGCGACCGATGCAAGGCAACGCCTCGATCCAGTTGATCGAGCATCCGGCATCTCGCCCAACGCCCAAGTTCCGAAGATGGAGCCGGAACGCTAGCTCTAATTCTCAGGCTTGTACTCGTGCCTCACCTCGACGTTCTTCTCATGCACAGCGGCATCCGCCTTCTTCTTACCATCACCGTCCCCTCCCCTCCACGTCGTAGTTGGCTTCCAGTAGATGCTCTTGCTCGCACTGCTGACCTCATCATACATCTCATCGACTTGCTCCAGCGTGAGGCCCTTCGTCTCATAGATCATGAAGTACACGAAGCCGATGCAGAAGAAGCAGCACCCGAACCAGATGAAGAAGATCTTCGCTTGGAGATTGGCGTTGCCGTCGCCGTAGTTGACGAGGTAAGGGGTCGAATAGGCAATGGCCCAGTTGACGAGCCAGTTTGTGGCTGTGGTCATGGAGAGCGCCTTGGCGCGGACTTTGAGTGGGAAGATCTCTCCAGTCACGACCCAGGCAATGGGACCCTGTGGAACGCGTGGTTAGCTGGACTCTGTTAGACGAGGGGAGGGGGGAGAAGACGAACCCAGCTGGCGGCGAAGAAAAAGATGAAAAGGCAGACGAAGGCGATAGATGCACGCTGCGAGGCGATGTTCGTGGAGAACACAGCTCCATCGGCAGCCTGGCCTGTGGAGGTTGTGCCGAGGATGGCCACGAGAAGTTGGGAGACGGCCATGCCGATTGCTGGGGGTGGGTTAGTAGGATGCGGCTACCGGGGAGAGTTACGAGATGGAACGGTGACTTACCACCCCAGAAGAGAAGAGGCCGACGTCCCCACTTGTCAATCGCGTACAAGCCCGGAATGGCGGAGGTGACGTTCACAGCGGACGTAATCATGGAGATGAGGAATGGGTCCTGGATACCCGTATTTTTGAAGAACTGTGTGCCGTAGTAGAAAATGAAGTTGATTCCCGACAGCTGTTGGAGGGCTTGCAGACCGCAACCCGTCAGCTGTCTCTTCAACATGCTCCCGCGGAAGCAATCCAGGTATGAGGCCTTGCCGAGCGTCGACTCGTATTCGTGACTCGCCTGGATCTCCCCAAGTTCTGCGATGATGGCGATGTGGTCCAGAGGCAAGCGGCGCAGTTTGCACAGACTCTTTGCCGCTTGTTCGGATTTGCCTGAGCGGACCAGGAAGCGCGGGGTTTCGGGTAGGATGAACATCCCGATCATGAGGATGGACGACCACGCGAATTGAACCATGATGGGGATACGGTAGGAGCCGCTGTCATCCCGGTCTTTGGTCGCGTTGTCCACGACGGCGGCGAGGAGGAGACCGATGGTGATGGCAAATTGGTAGGATCCGACGATGACCCCTCGAATCCATTTGGGTGCCGTCTCGGATTGGTACAAGGGGATGAGAGCCGAGATCATTCCCACGCCGAAGCCGGCGAAGAAACGGCCGGAGTTGAACATGGGGAGGGCGGTGGCCGCGGTCTGGAGAGAGACTCCGAGGTTGAAGACCCAGCAGCCTGCGATGAGGGACCATCTTCTGCCAATTCTATCGGCGAAAGGGGCGGCGGTCAGGGCACCGACGAAGGTGCCTGCGGAGAGGATGGAGACGACGAGAGACGTTTGTCCCGATGAGATATTTGGGTGGCCATCTACATCCCGATAGCCAGTCGAGAATCTCTCCTGCCAGAAGCTAGGTCGGTTGTCAGCGCGAGATGGAAAGGATGTCGGGCAAGATGGTACTTACGGCATAGCCAGGATACCGCTAATCGTCCCCGTATCGTATCTATCTCTCTTGTTCAGCACTGTGCTTGTTATGGGCACTGGGGTA